ATCTCCGGAATGGAAACAAACGGCCCATTGTCGCCCGCGTTATGTGCAGCGTCAGAGCCGGCTCGCAGCTGGGCACCGTTGGACGAACGCTTCGTCCTTGATGGACGACATCTGGTGACCTCTGGTGACCTCGGGCTACATCGTCACGTAGACATGGTGGGTCTGTGAGACGTATTCAATACACAACTTTCGAGTCACTGGTACAAACCCCATAAGGAAGCAGCCTCACTACACTGAGCGCAAGATGTGCTCGGGTCGGCGTTTTCGAGGAAGTTAACTTTACAAGGTGTCACAATGATCCCGGAGACAGACTATTGAAAGAGTGAATCATAATGTTTTACACCTTACGTTGGTGTTAACACTGTAAAGGGGTCACACCCGAACCGATGCGTTTTCACGAATTTGGGGCTGAGCCCCTGACCTGCATGAGTGCTTCCCAAACACTTATGCAGCGCAGTAGTCACAGACTGGGGATGACTCATTTTGAGCGCGCCACGATACGCCTCGTGCCACGTTCGCGGGGTTGCCCCGGGGTGGGAGACACGTGCTTCAGTCGCCAAACGCGGCGGGCCGGCAGGATCGCTCGTTAGCTTGCGGAGCGTGGGTAAGCCGCGCCGACGTGCTCGCTCTCGCGGTAGCCGCCCCGCGGCCATTGAGTGCCCGCGAATCTGAAGCAGCTGACCTTTGGCCACGGAGGAAGCCGCCAGTAAGCCGGTCGACACTCGGACACAGCCGATCCGAAATAGATGAGGGCGCACTACAAATTGGCGACATCGATCCTCCTCTGACGTCATCGTGAGCGCGGCGGGCAGGCGCAGGCTAAATTTAGCGGCTGCAACCTGAACTGGCGAAAACATCAATGAAGTGCACGACCGGCGTAAGCTCGGTGTGGCCATGGATTCCTGAGGTCGCGGCGTCGTGCTGTGACCGGCCGGCGATGCTCGGCTGTCCCGCTCGTCTGCGGGCGTCTGGCGGCTGAGGCAGGCATCGTCTGGCTTTAACGTGGTTACAGTCACCAGCAGGAGAAGGCGTTATCGTCATGACGTCCGAGAACCTCCGCAGCGCTACCCCTGATTGGCCGCCACTGCCTAACGGCAGATCCCGGTGCTTGTCACCCCAGAGAGGTGGCAAAGGATATCATCTGTCGGTCGCTGTTATCACCCTAGCGACACAGCCTCACCTCAGGGATAAAAGGTCAGACCACTCGCCAGCGAAGCCACCACACTCGTTCGGAGCAGTCAGAACATATGACTGTACTGACACCACCAACGCTGGCACCACGGAAGGAAAATGCCGTGGCCGTGAAGAGGCATTGCGGTGAGCACATCGAAGATGGGTCAATAATTTGTTGAAGACGATGGTGGCTTCACACATTTTGCGAGAGATTATGAAACATCTTAGGGGACACTTCTTTCACCAACGCCACCCTTACGCGGAATGATGAGCAAAATCAATACCAGGCTTGTTTCATTTCAGCCTCGCAGAATTTATTCGGACTCCGACTCCCACCACGCGCTGTTTACTAAGGCTCTGGTCCCGAGCAGCAGATCAGTTTTGAGTTTTGTTCGGTTACGACAGCGAGCTTGACAGGCCGCTGTCGTGATCTTAAATTTCATCTGCTTAAAGTGTTATGGCTGCCAGAACGATAACATTGGTTTTCACTCCCAATTTTTTATTTACAAACTCATTCGTCAGTCAATCATCTTATCATCGCAACTCATCATTAATGCACTAACTAAGCTCTGTCTCCGGCTCATGCGAGTTTTCATGAGAATCGTCCCCACCTTGCGTGAGCAAAACATTGGTTAATTCGAGGCCAATTTTGACTACACCCTGAATCTGGCATAAGTCAAAATAAGTAGTGCTATACCAGACAGAAAATATTTGGCAGGCCCTGAACGCAAAGCCATCCGAAGGCCCGTGTTGCCGCCAGAACAGCGACGTCCTGTAATGCCGTCATGACGCAACACAAGCGAGTATGCAAGGAAGTCGAAGGGACGTGACTTTGTTAAGACGCTGAAATCACCCAAAGTTACCCTGATTGTGCTTGGTTTTTATTAAATTGGTAGCAAATTTGGAACTTGGCTCCAAACGTTTCTTAACACCTATCAACACTCGTCAGTAGAGTCAGCCTGGCATGAAAACTGGCGGCGGAAACTCTCGAGTAATCGCATGGTGCTAACACCGAGTCAGCAATACCATCATTGGCCGAACCGTATCGGCAGATGGACTAGCTCCATGAGTGTTGTGTGATAGCAGCACCGCGCAAGCGCTCCATTAGCCGTGATTGCGTTAGCAGCGCTGGGGAGAGACAATCGAATTGCAGCCATCGCGGTAATGATAAAATATGCAACAGGTAACTTGACAGATAACGAAAACAGTGTCGGCCGTCAAATTACCTGGCAGTATGACAGTTCTTTAGCGAGATAACGTAGCGCATCAATCTTCAATTAAGTGGCCTAAGCGAGTGCATTTGCTTGCATCAAACATACAATTACAAACGTCGCATACATAATCAAATAGAGACATATCATGCGACAACAGACGAAGTCTGCACACACAACGTTATACGGAGCTTGTACAGCCCAATTGCGTATAAATATGGACGCACGCTTGCTATGGGATCATCTGCGTCGACATCAAGGTCATTGCCCAACTGGAGCGAGCCTGCGAGGCCCATTGGCCCACTTCCGGGCCTTCCAGACGTCATCAACCCATCTCCACTTTCCGCTCGCTCGGTCGAGGCCCCGTCCACCCCCTCCCCACTCGCCAGCCGGCGGCCCAGCGCTGAGCACGGCGTCGAAAGGTCGACTCCTGCACCGCCAAAGTTGAATCACAAACGCGGTCGGCGTGGAGCCGACACCTGCTCGTTTCGCAGCAGGCGGTATCTTTAGCGGCGGTAGCTGACCGCGCGCTTCCGGCGGATAAGCGGCGAGGCTCTCCCGGGTGGTAACGAGCCCCGCCAGCGACGAGCGAGCGGACCAGGTCAGTCGCGAGCCTCCCCGCCCGCCCGCCGCGACTCTGCTTCCGCCGTGCTGACCTTTCTGCGCCGACCTGGCGACATTTGACCTTTCCGTCCGGGCTGCCATTGAAGAGCGCGGTGTTCCCGGCGATGCGCGCAGCTGGCCGCGCTGTAACTCGCTGGGTACACGTCTGTATGCAAATACGGGGCCGGCAGAGCTGGAGGCCGGCAAACAGACCCGCTGGGGAGGGGGAGGGGAGGGGAGGGCTCGAGGTGCTGCCACGCTGGCGGCGCGCGGCCGTTGAGGCTGGAACGGGCGCCCGCCGTTCCGACGGACTTGGCTGATCGAGGTATTATGTCGGCATGGGAGGCTGCTGGAAGTAATGTTTCACAACTCGGCGCGTTTCGTGTCCATATATCCTGTCCAGAATGCCGTCCTGGCGGCGCCAATGGTGATGGTTCCGCGTGCTTTATGCGATTTTCAGCGCCGAGTCATCACATTTTACAATGTCAATCTATTGGAGCCCCAGCCAGCCACGCTTGCGGAACTCAGCCGCTTCGAGTTTGCACAAGGGACTGAACCGCCCGAGCGCATCGCGTCCGTCATGAGCCTTAGTAAGGTTGACACGCGGGTCATCATCTCATTAATTGCGCAAGCGTCCTCCTGGGCTGAAGGCGACTCGCGTCACCAAGCGCACAAAATGCGCAACACGATGGCACGTGCCGCACATATCATCCAGGCGCGGCGCAAGAGGAGCTCGAGGCGCCGCGCGATGCCGCTGAGCCCCGACCGCGGCCGGCGCAAGGCGCACTGAACGACATCTCCGCTCCGCTGACCGCCAATATCCCATCAGCCGGCGGCGGACCCGAGCGGTCGTGCACTGCCGAGGATATTGAGCGACGCGGCTGTGAGAGCTCCTCGAGAGAATCGGCCAGCTATTCTCTCCAGTACCTGCTGCGCAATGGCTGGCTCGTCACAAAGTACAGCCACAAACTTCAAGGGCATTGAAAACTTAATTTCCCGGTACGGGCCGCCTCCCGACGCTGTCACTGGAGCGGGCGCGGCGCAGATGCACCATCTCCGTCCCGGCCGCACAGCGGAAAAGCGCGTGGTGATCGTGACGCACTCGCAGATAAAATTAAATAGTTTGTAGCGTGTTGGCGACCGTCTTCAAAGCGCCAGCCACGTAATTCCAGGCCGTCGTTCTTGTTTAATTTTTCGGTGACCTAAGGGTGCTTTCCTGATGCTATGATGTAAAACGGGTTGCTGAGAATGCACGCTGGATAAACACATGCTTGATGGTCACATACCACCACACAGCCACATCTAGAAGTCGTTGATCACTCGCTCCCTGCCACCACCAGCTCAGACCTCCTCCGAATGGGCGTTTGCTGTCATTGGTTGTCTATTCGGGCTTGTGGTTCACTCAGCTCGCACTTTAAAATCCCTGACTTCAATACCAGCGCATCAGGACGGGCAATGAACTCGGCGCGTGGGGGTAAGCCTGCCCCACAAAACGCACATACGGGCTATTTCGGGCCGCGTTATTGAAGCACTCTGGTCACAGCTGACCCATTCCGTAAACGGGCGCGCCGATTTGCGGAAATGCGCGCCGGAATCGTATCACGTTTGGCGTACAACATGGCGCGCAGCAAGCATGCGAAATGCCGGCACACTTTTCCGGTATTCCACATCTTTGTTCCTGGACATAGCACACGAACATCGAAAGCAGTAGCTACTGCGTTCTATTCGGGTGAAGGGAAGGCGAATTAGATGGACCAGAATGCATATGTTCCAAGTGGATCACACCGCATGCAATCTGATCTATTGCTACGTTTCGTCACAAACTCATCCGGTGCATCAGGAGAAGTGTTACCTTGACGGCGTCAATCAGTGACCTGCAGCCGTCATATTTTGTACCAGAAGTAATGAATGAAGCCTTTCACATCAGTGCAATGCCCGCTTATCAAGGCCCAGGAGCTTGTTATCTCCACTGTCGTCTGCAAGATACGCCGCTGGGCGACCGCGGCCACATACCAGGCTGTAGGCGATCCAGAGCCAGTAGAGCGGCGCGCGCCGGGGCACCAGCCGCGTGAACCGCACCAGCATCAGCACGTGCCCCAGCAGGTTCAGGATGGAGAAGATGGCGCTGGCCGGCTCCTGCATCCCCAGCCACCGCACGAACGGCCACTGCCGGCAGAGGGAGTGGGGGCTGACACCGACACACACTGGCAGGACGTCACGGACACCGAGGTACGACACCGGGTCACTGACGCTGAGATATTCTTACATGGGCCATGGACGCCGAGGCATGACACCAGCTCACTGATGCTGATATATTCTCACAGGGGTTACGGACAACGAGGTACAACACCAAGTCAATGACGCTAAGATATGGTGGCAGGGGGTCACGGACATCGAGGTTCAGCACCGGGCGACTGGCCCAGAGATATCTCTCACGGGGGCCACGGGAGTCACGGGGATCACGGGGTCACGGGGGTCATTCAGGGTCTCACACGGGGCCACGGACATCGAGGTACGACAACAGGTCACTGACGCTAAGATGTTCTCACAGAGGGCCACGGACACAGACCTACTGACAGCGAGACTAAAACACATGCACCGACATGAAGTCACTGGAGAACTCGGACACTGACACTCAAATGGTGAAGCTGGTCTTGGATGACCGTGGGTAAACGGATAGAGGTGGCGCATTCATACGGAGATGCGTAGAAGACGTCGAGAAAATTTCGGCAGCATGAAACGAATACCTGGAGGCAAACAGCACGACGCACAAAACAAGAATGAGGAACTCCGCAAAAATTGACCGTGGTCACCAATCAGGGACGTATGCAGGGTTCCTAGACGAGGCTGGTGGTGGTGGTCATGGTGGAGCTTCCCAAGCTCGGTGGACGGAGAAATCCCACCGTTCTATATGGGCTATGCAAGTAAAGTGCCCCCTGTTATTAACTGCACGGCCTATCATGTGTTTTGTGTTGACGCAGTAAACGCATGCATCAATACGCCAAAAACAGCCGCGGGAAATTACACCCCGACATTATCAGACTGACATTGCGTAATGACAAACGCAGTTATAGTGACACACGACAAGCCCATAACAACACATTACATAAAATCTGGCTGGGAAAATAAGTCCATAATGACAAACCACACGGACGAAAACACGGTGAGCTCAATAACTGCGAAGGAGCCAAGCTATGACCACGGAATGGTCGAGGGTATCGGTTACCGCGATGCGGATCTTGCAAAGCGCCCAATTCGCCGCTGAAGTTCAACGTGCTACACTGATACATTGTCCAGTTTGTTACGCTTCAACATTTATGCAGACGTGCCACAGAGGGCTTACCCATCTACATGATCACCACCAACGCATTTTGCAGCCGACTGTAGCCGTATCGCTTCCGGCGCAAAGACACAAATCCCCGCTGCTCACCTTGCCGTAAAATTGCGGTATATCAATCCCATTTTCCACGAAAGCGTCCACCGTTTTCCACATGCACTCGTATTTACAATCGTCAGGGCACGTCCACACCAGCCCTCTCGCCAGACCTGCCAAGAGGGAGCAATCACCTGTCAGCACGGGGCTTCGACCAGCATCGGCACGTAACTTTTACTACGTCGCCAGTTACAAGCGAACGCATTGCAAACTTAGGACTATAACAAGGCCGTCAGGCTTTGCTGGGAATATGGGCGCATCAAACTGAAGGCATCGTTGAAAATGGTAGCCATGCCCGCCTAATACGTTAATGCAACTGCATGTACCCTCGACTAGATAAACAAAGCACCGCGATTACTCGCACGTACAAATGAATTGAAAGCTTATCTCAAAATGTGTTGCGTCGTATGACGCAGTACAGCTTAGATAAGCAGCATACACCGCTTCATGCCCGTCAGGCATCTCACCACGCCGCCTCCCTTCCGACCGCACGCGGGCCGCGCAGTGGCTCCCGCCCATCGACCCAACAACACTCCGCCCACGAGCGCCACGTGCCACTCCAGCGGGCCTACCTTCCGACCGGGTGCAGTTCATCTTGACGCACTTGGCCAGGCATGACTGAAAGACGTGCGCCCTGTCGCCGGGCGAGGCCTCGGCCGGCCGCGCCAGCGCCGCCAGCAGCAGGGCGAGCAGCGGACCGACCGGCGCTGCTCGACGGACCATCGCGCTGGTGACGCGGCGCCGCGCTCCGGCACACTGCCGCCGCTGCCGCCGCCGCCGCCGCCGCCGCCGCCAACAAAGAGATCGATGTGGAAGCGCTCGTGGCGGCGCTGGTGAATGGACGGAGCGGGGGTGCCGCGGGCCGGGTGCGGGAGAGGTGCTCACTGGAGGCGGGGCGCGGCGAGAGGTGTCGCCCCTCGGAGGGTCTGCCGCGGTGGCGAGGTCGGGTCGGGTCGCGCGGTCCGGCCGGCCGGTGGGAACAACGCTTGTCGAGGGAGTGAAGTGCACCCCCGCCGCCGCCGCCGCCACCGCCGCCGCGTCGGTCAGCTGGCGGGTTCCGCGCAGGCGCAGTGGCGGCCACACTGGCGGCGGCCGACCCAGTCAGCTGCGTGTGTTGTGCTCCGATCAGCTGATTGTCTTCAAGGCCTTTCGATATCGATCTTGGGATAGGGGTGAGAGGGAACAGGGGTTTGTTCCAGGAAAAATCTGGCAGATTTCAAGTGAAGGGACTGTTGCGTGACCGACCCCTTTACCAGCCACCTATCACCCACCCGTTATCCTATGTAGAGAGTATCTTCGCGATTTGTTCACCAGTCTTGGAATACAATCAGGCACGCAAAATTCAGGGTAAGACCACATTAGCGGGCTTCTGAATATCATCATTTGGTTACCACTTACCTTAACATTACAGTGCACATAGCATCCCTCACTGAGTAACACTTCTAGTTGCGAGTGCATACTAGACACACATTCGCAATTCGATTATGTCACGGCTGTGAATTTCAATTCACTGGTTTTGTAAACAACATTGAGAGCTGTAATATTGCTGGTCAGTTCTTCAGATCCATTGAGAAAACTGCGAAGAGTGGTGCACTAACCCTGAGGTGCGTGACCATGGCTGATTGTGTCGCAACCGAAATAAGTTATGAGAGTGAAAAACTGTCACTATTTTCATAAAAAATGCGACTGTCGCAGAGTGTGAGAGCTCAAACCAATTCAGGATCACGTTAGGAAAACCACGCGTCACTGCAGAAGTTGGTGCAAAGCTGCCTCACCACACGTGCTGGCCTGCTGAAGCTTTGATGAAGGCTGACAAACTCTCAAATGACTCGTCATCGAGGCTCTATTTTCGTGACATCCTTTACTCTGTGATAGTGTGGGGCATGTATGACCAGGCGCGAAAGGGTCCGGGTCAATGGCAAGGAAGCTTCATCAGAAGATAGAGCGTGGCAGCGAACTTTGGAACAAAGGAAGAACGCATAAAAGCAGCGATAACAAACAAAGTTCACTACGCATAATTAAAGGTAGTTTGAAGGCTCAACATCTCATCCATAAACGGGCAAACATGCCCACAGTTTCAGTCACTAATTATAACGTATCGTATGCCTGCTGACGTTAATCTGTCGTTGCATTAGCAGAATGAGATAATTGGTTTCAATTGAAGCCAAAGTGTTTTAGTTCTGCGTGGACCACTTTAATTGCTGGTGATTAGCGAAGCTTTAAGTGTTCCAGGCTCAAACAGTCCATTTTGAACAAGAAAGGCATGGTGGGCTCTGAGCATGCGCAGCACATTGTTGTGGCAAGCGATGTACGAGCAGATGCAATAAATCTATGATAGACGTCAAAGCAACTGGAGAAAGAAATCGGAAAACAGGCACTCGAGCTGTAGCAGCCTGCTAGTGGTAAATCAAGACAACCCGTAAGTGGGCTATGGGTGGATGTGACTATAAGTGTAACATAATAATAGATTAAATACAAGTTATTGGCATGTGTCCGGGTGGCAGAGCGAATACGACACGCTTGGATGTGAGTGGTGGTGGGAGCGGTGGAATTCGACCTTGCGATATGACACAAGTACGAGAGCTAGCAATACCAAAAGCACAAACTGCATGGGACTCTATGTAAACTAGCTTGGTGGAATTTGTACATGTCTAGCCCGTGACCTTCAGGTAAACTGAGATTAAAGCAGGTCAAACGAGAAATGAGTGTCTGAAGTCCCTCAGACTTCTCACGCATCCAACTTTAACCTGGATGATGCCTTTTCTAGAAACAGGTCAGTCAGGGCCATGCTAGGTCAGTAACCCTTGACTGTGGAAGAATCCATCCACGCAGAAATTATTGTGAGATCATTTAAGCAATTAAATCTGAAACCAACCTAACAAAATACTATACGCGACAGGTTTTTCAAAGCAAACAGCTAATCAGGGTTATCTTAGGACGGTGAGCACACTTGACCTGGAATCTGTCAACGTCTTTATGACGGGAAAATTCGAATGAGTGGCGGAAACTGCCCCAAGGAACAAGTTCCCCAACAAAAAATCGCTTACTTTTAACCTTGATCTGACCTTCATATCTGATCCCCAATGTATCCATCCAAATACAGATGGTCAAATTATCTAATCAGCCATGGCAAATTAAGTAACTTTCTTGAAAAACATTTGCGGTCGCATTACCTGAAATGCAACAGCGAGAATTGCCTTTGGTGGCAACCATGTCTTGAACGTGACTCGTGCGCAAGTCAGTGGCTTTTAAAAGTATGCGTCAATTGTTTTGGATCGCGAGATTGTATATCAATATGTCTACAGTTCTGCCAACCTTGTCGTTGCTTAATCGCGCCTAACCAGAACTTTTGGAAAACCCGCACAGTGATCAAGTCGATCATCACCCAGGCGAGCGTTCAGACACTTTATCATGCGTACTTCTTCGGCGTCAGAATACCATCTAAGCTGAACCTGACGCTCGCACCCAAGCTGCCCAAGCGGCGCAGGTCCCAACTCCAATTCATTATCTTCCCTCCGCATTGCTAGCGAGGCGGGCCAGATTGATCATTTCCAGAAGCACGGTGCTGCTTTATGGAGTTACTGCACTGGTGTAATCCTTCGAGGAAACCCTCAAGCCCCGCCCGCTTTACCTTTTCTGGCAAGCTTCAGATGACAATAGTGCGCCAATCAGTCCTAACAAGGTGTATTGCTCACGCTCAAACGGTCGAAGCCAGTGCCACTGGCTTTCAAGACCCGGCATCATCCAGGCACGGTGAAGGCTGTTGCATGGTTTGGAAATATGCGGGGATCTTCTGTTTTCAAAGCTGTCTGGTTGCACGGCTGCCATTGATCACGCTGGGATAGTGCGCTTGAGCACGAATACGCGATGGCGACGGGCCAAACTTTCTGAAGCTCATAAAGTGTCGTGACATGATTCCGCCGGACTCACATCATTTGCGTGATCATCTACAGGCGATGCACTGCCTTCCTGCCACACATATATGAAATCCTATCACACGGCCGTTCTGAGTCACAACGCACCGACACGTCACTGCACTAACCCTATCACACGGCCGTTCTGAGTCACAACGCACCGACACGTCACTGCACTAACCCTATCACACGGCCGTTCTGAGTCACAACGCACCGACACGTCACTGCACTAACCCTATCACACGGCCGTTCTGAACCACAACGCACCGACACGTCACTGCACTAACCCTATCACACGGCCGTTCTGAGTCACAACGCACCGACACGTCACTGCCCTCCGGCCGTCACGGTGACGCTTAGCGCTGGCGGCGCGGCGACAAAAAGGCTTGGTCTTTAAGGAAAACGGTCGCGACCCGTCGCCCGCCCGCCTCTCGACCCGTCGCCCGCCCGCCTCTCGACCCCGACCGACCGCACTCGGTGTCAGTCACCTGCCAGCGAAGAGCCGGCCACTTCGGTCCGTGCCCAGCCTTCCAATCGCGGATCAGGATCCAGTTTCAGATAACGGCGTCCCCATGTGGGTTGGGTTATTCATACCGCGACATTAGTCTGGACACATATTTGCCACATACGATGGTTCAGCCATTTTCTGCACCAGGTGGGAGAGAGAGAGAGAGAGAGGAGGCTGGCGTGAGAGCTCCAAAGTCTTAAACTTGTCCGGCTACAGCTCCGGTTCCGGCTCCGGCTTCGGCCACGGCGCTGGCTCCAACTCCGACTTTGGTATACACATTAGCAAGGGTCGCTAATGTACGGTCATGGATATAACGGAGGCTCGGCATGCGGCCATAGCGGATAGGAAGGAAAGCATTGGAGAGTAGAGCGAATTACATCAGTTCGTACTGTGAGCTTTAACACAATATAACACCGTAACTTCTCGGGACCAGTATTCTCATATTTGCAGACAGCTATAACCTTCAGCCACGTCTGTGGCGGCAACTCTCTGGACAAAACGCATTGACACGTTGAGCTTATATGAATTCTTAAGCAAATGAGTTTCAGTGGATCGCTTTCGAACGCTGCAAACAACCCCACACCCGACTAAATGGTATCACGTAGCGAGAGAGTAGTATCTATTCCTTTTGCATGAAGTACAGAGATGGGCCGCATCGCCAGCCACTTCAATACTTTACAAGAGTTAGAACAAAACACCTTCGCCTCCACTGTCTTGCAAGTTGTCGTAATCGCTACACTGCCACCTCGGTTGCCGCTGCTGTCAGTTGCTGTTATCAGTAAGTTTTTTTTACAACCACTGCTACCTCGGTTATGTCCACTAAGATACCCTGCATATCAGTCAATAACGTCGTTGTCGGGCCGTTGTATGGCTGATGCAACATGCTTCATGCAGAGCTGACCCAACATGCACAAGCTGTGTCCCCCAGTACGTGCAGCTTCATCACACAGCGTGCACAGCTGTGTCTCATAACATGTACCTGCCGATCGATATATTGGAAGAAAGCTCCTGTTACTTTGAAATCCTCTGCAATGGGTCACGTAGCATGTTGCGAAATTGAGAATCCTCTGAATCGAGTGCGCTGAATTCAGACGCTGCGTACTTTTATACAAATTAAACGACATGAGGGCAACATTGCACTGACAACAACGGTAGAATTGTGTCAATAATCATGTGAGGGCTTTCTAGATTGCTTTGACGCATTACCAAATTTATAAACTGACACGCCACGTGCGCACCCACAGCAGGGCAGCCTTGTTCATCGCACCTGAAGCCACGCCGTTTTCTGACCACTGCCTGCGCCTGCCTGCCACCGCCCGGCGCCTCGCTGGGCGTCTGGCCCTGGCGCACCGCCGGTAGCCTAACCCGCCGTGCGTCCGTGTACTGCGGCACAGTGCAGCCCACACCGCGGCCACCGACCGCCGGCGTGCCCCGCGAGCCGACCGGACTGCGCAGCACATTTTGGGTAATTTTTCCTCAAATACTTGATTTCTTCATCCGTGTCAACATATTTCAACGTTTTCTCTGAGTTAAGAAAATGCTAGATTCAACTTACTGAATGTTATTTCCTCGCATTTTGGCACGCCAATGGGTGTAGTTCGCCAAAGTAAATTGTCAGTGGGGGCCGGGCTACGCAAAGAAAAGTGGCTAAACCTACCCTTAACACACGAGAAAAATAGACTTCTCGCTCATTTGACAAATTTCCCTCTAAAAGCTAGCGCAACTGGAGCTTCCCCTTACCTGGGTAGGAAACTACACCCCAAGACACGCCATTTTCATTTGCGTGCAGGAAGTACGGCTAGGCCTGGTAGTGTTGTCAGGAGCATACCCAAAAGAAGCAGTCCCAAAACATGTACAAGCCCGATCTCTTTTGGCTCAGGGGCTCCCCATGAATCAAAAACATGGTGGTGCTAGTTTTCGCGAAGAGTGGGAGGGACGTGTCTGTATGGTTCTCTGTTCCCACGACCGTGAAGTATTCTAATAATGCTTGCAGACTAAGTATCTGTCTGATAAGCGGTGCCTCTGCTAGCAAAGTGACAATGACTTTGTTCGTCTCTATTAGTTGTGCATTCGCTTTTATATGGATGATTTGAAATGCATCAGGCTATCATACTAGTTATAATTTTCTTGTCACCAGATCTTTATACGCTTCATTTTGTGTTTGCTCGACGTCAACCTTTTCGTTCGTCTGGAT